CCGAAGTATAAGCACAGGGTATTTTACAGTCGTGCAGTTAAATCGTCAAGTGCACCTGGTCTTGTTTTTCCTTGGGTCTTAAGTGAAATGCATGCGTCAGCTAAGAGCTCCTGAGTCTACAATTTCAATTTTCAGCGATTTCTTGGTAAAACGCATTATCAAATTCGTATTTTGTATTTTTGTGAAATGCATGTGTAATTGTGTGTATACCCCCTGTCTGTGTCTGTTATCAATGCGCCTGATAAGAAACTCGTTGAGACTCTAGTTCTTTTTAAATGGATATGCTATTGGTATATATAGCTGGCTGATTCATGCATAGCCTTTGTCTGCGATATCACGTCAACTTTCCATTTAGTTCTAGTGCTCGACGCACTTTGACTTTTGGGATCGGGCTGCTATATGCATTTAATCAGTTTTGAGCACGTTTTAAAGGGTTTACTAATCAAAAGTTGGACTTTTATAGCTTTTTGCAGTGTAGATTATCATATTGCATGAAATAAATTAAACACACAATTGGATTCGACCTTTGATTTCTGAGATTAAGTCATAAATTAGTTAGGCTTGGACCTTATCATTATTGATGGGAGTTCTTAGGCGAATTATTCGAAGGGAATCTTTCCAGTTATCTTTTCGAGTTCCTAATGATTGTTGGGCAATTTCTTTTTCTTAATCCAAATCATTTCTAGGAAGTTCCATAGATCAGTTCTATCTTCTCGAGAGTATCTCCTAATAAGTATTGGGCAATATCTATCTACCTTTACGAGAAGCAATACCTTTCCGTAATCCAATCAATGTCTAGGCAGTGACAAGGTAGAAACTACGTTTAAAAACTGTTTGACTAACATTTAGACATTACATATAAAGTGAACATGCAGCTGCTATGGGCCAAGTTCGAATCAGTTCGAATCCTAACTATCTATTTGTTACCAAAAACAAATTTGACAGAGGCTCTGTTCCAAAGTACAAATGACTTTGGCCCCAAGCCTAGCCAAGTTTTGGGTCGTGTTCAAATCTAGCCCGCATTTTATATATGAAAATATGCACGACTTGCAAAACTTTCAAGTACAACGGGCTGTTAAGAATTAAATACTGAATTGTTTACTTAAAATTTCGAAGGATTTTAACACCAAAGTTAAGAGCAACCCATAACTGACAAGTTTTTTTTACTAAAAAAAGTACTAGACGTATAAAGACTGAGAAGTTACTAGAAAAGTTAACAGGAAATCAAGTGAGCATGGAGAGCCTAAAGCTGCAAGCTAGATCAACACTAAGAAAGGTCTAAGTTAAGTGCTAAACATATAAAAAATGACTAAAAATAATATAAACATGAAGGATATATGACATATAAGTACAACTAAATAACTCACTCGAACTAGTCAACCCTGTACACTTGACTTGTAATTTATGTAAATATGTTAATGTTAATTTTATGTTAATGTTAATGTAATGTTAATGCACGCCTATTAGATGATCCCAAGCAATCAGGATTGTAGCCAAAGATACAATTTATAAAAAAAAATTGTACGAAAAAAAACTGCGCCTTGTTTTTGCCATATCACAACTGCAAAAGAGCCAAAAACTGAGCGTAACTTATAATTTATAAGCTGGTTTCCTTGTTGCCGTTTCTTATAGGTCTTAAGTATGTGCAACGCGTATGTGTGTGTGTGTGTGCAAAACACCTGCAAGTTGTGGCAGCAACAACTACAACAACAGCAGCTACAGCAACAACAAGCGTCCAAGTACTTCTACTTTTTTGCATGAAATAAAATCTCACGGTTCAGATGCGTATAAAGTTGGCAAAGACAAAGAGCGAGACGAGACGAGGCGAGGTGAGACAAGGCGAGGCGAGCAGTTGTTCGAGCAGGGGGGGCAGGTGGTAGGAAGTCTGAACAACAACAGAAAAAAGATACGATACCAAGTGGCGCAGGCGCAGAAGGCAGCCAAAGAGCGAGAAAGGGATGGCAACAGAGTGCGAGCGAGAGGGGCAGCTGCGACGATGCATGTGGGTTTGTTTTTGCAAGAAAGACATTAAAAATATGTAAGAGGCTCGCATCGAGCATACGCGACCAGCAGATACCCTGTACTTCTGCTTTAACTGAGCAACATATTATGACACCATATTACTTAAAGAATTTTTATGGTTATTAAACTTCAGGACTTGGAGATGGTATTTGGCATAAATTTTAAGAATATTTATTGATTTATTCAAGAGGAATTATCGATTATCGATAAAATAAAATGTATCAAGAACTTCTTCTATATATATAAAGTCCCCCAATCGTCTGTTTATGCTGACCAAGAGATGCCTTCCTTTGTCCATTACATTGGAACAATTGCAATATACCCTTTGAATACCCTTTACAGGGTATAAACAGCACAAGTAGGTAAAGAGCCAGAGCCGGAGTCAGAGCCAAAACAGGTTATGTGGCTCATTTTTTGCACAATTGCGGGTGGACAGAGGGGAGGGGGAGGCATTGGAGCTGCCCTTTGCGTAGCCAAAAAAAAAAAGACGAAGAATCATGCAAATGGCATAGAAGCATTTTTGGCACAGCGCTTGCCGTTTGCGCCTTCAAATGTAGTCCTGATCTTAACGAGCCAGCGTCAAAAGAAAATAAGAGCAGAGAGAGGGGGAAAGAGAGCGGAAGAGAGAGAGAGACAAAGATGAAGCAAGCAATCTGTTGCCGTATCTGTACTTCATTCATATTTACCCGAGCTGAGATACAGAACGAACTGACAACAAGGCGGACGGACGGACGGACAGGCGAGAGATGCTTAATGGGCCAACTAGCTGCTACCTGGGGCACAGGTAAATGCTGAGGTAAAAGCAAATCCAAACACACACACACAAATAAACAGGTAGAAAACAGTTCGCTTCTGCTCCTTGTTTGCCTTTGCCATGGGAAATCTGTCGCTGCTGGAAACCTGTTCACAAAAGGGCAACTGAATGAACAGATGTACAATTCATATGGAGATACTTCCTCCTCCAATCCAATGAATTGAATCTCTTTTATCAAAAACTGATGCCTGTTCCACTGTCTGAACTGTCTTTGGGTGCTCAGCGTAATCTCAGTTGGCATTTATTAGCTGTAGCCTGCATTGCGGGCGTTTATGGCGTAAAATACCCTGTAGAAACTCCATTGAACTCGGGTAGTATGAGCATAGGCATTACCGAAATTGATATATATGATGTTATAATAAATTTACTTGGAAAAATGTCTTAAACTTAAACTTTTTAGTGCTAGGCTTGAAATTGCTTAAATACATACTTAATTGGAGCTCTATCTCTCTATGGAACTCGGGAACTATGAGCCCTAGACAAACCAAATTTGGGATTGAAACTCTCTTGAAGCTTCCTCAGCTATATCCCAAAGTTGACTGCAATCGCTTGATAAATACAAGAGTTCCTTGAGGTTATAATTTTATAAAGCCGAGCAACTAGAAGCTCGATAAAAAGCGATATCAAACATATTGTTATTAGGTAAATTAAAAGACTTTTGAATAGATAAAATGATAAGCAGAATATTTGCCAGCAAGTATTTTTAACTGCGTTTAATCTTTGCTTTTTACGTGCTGATTGTTAATTATTTCGTGACTCTGTGAGTGTCTGAGTTGGCACAGTTTTTGCTGATAATGTGAAATCGCTTACCTTTCGTATCTCCGTGGTCAACATAGCCGGCATTGGCCGTTGCCGAGGCGGCTGCCAAGTGGCTGGCGCAGATCAGCAGAAGGCCCGCTCCGATGTACATAATGCCAGATATAGACATGTTGCTGCTGCTCCGGATCGGGGGTGGGGGGTGGCTGGGTACGTATCCAACACGCGTTTGTTTATTTATTTAAATTCATAAATCGCATAAATATGGTAACGTGATGGATTATTCGATGGGCTGCGTTTCGATTGTTTTGCACAATCAAACGATTTGTTTATTTACCAAGTTTTTCTAAACGCGCAACTCCCCGCACAATATTAAGGAGCGAGAGAGAGAGAGAGACAGAAGAGTTGGGTCTATTCAAGCGTATCCAAACTCCATCTCGTAAGCCGAGCTTTGGCCAAAGCTCGCGATGCAAATGTGTCGCGATGCAATCCGAGAAATTTCGGATTGATTATTTTGCAAATTATATATGTTTCAGCAGAAAAGCTGTTTGTGTTGAAACAACAAAAATAAATAAGCGTTGCGACCAATTCACGGAATATTATAATAAGTAATACAATATACAATAGCAATAAAAAGCGGCGATCGCGTCGAACGTCGGCGTTAACGGGGCCGACAGCGAGACGGCTGAAACGAACGGTGAACACGATCCAGAGAGAGAGAGAGAGAGCGGGCGCGCGCGGTTGGAAACTTTTTACTGTTAACAGGAGAAAGAACCGCCTTTAATCGCCGCGGCTCTACTTTGTAATGATAGTTAACTGGGCACGCGAGAAGGCTGCCGCAGAATTATTCGTATTCGTATACTTTATTAGACTTTGTTTAACACACAAAACTCTGTTTTATTATTGTGCGAATATGAATTTTTGTTAACGTACTCCGTGCACCGAAACCGACGTAGCGTCAGCGCCAAACGACCGTCAATAATAAGATTCAGTTGAAGACTGTGTGACCGTCCACGCGCAACTCCAGAAATGCCACAAGTGCCTGATCGATAACAGCGTCTGCGTGAGTGAGTATCGAATTAACATGGCGCAATTGATTTATACATTTGAATTTAAGCAGCAAAAAGAGTCACTTCTCTCAAAGAGCTAGCACGCTAGACGGAATATTATTTAACGAAGTTTAAATGTATAACATTGAGCAACTAATTGCATTAAAAAATAGTCAACTATTGAATTGACAGCATTTAATCATAGCCCGTATGTAAATGCTGCTAGCTGTTCATAACATTTCAGCAACTGTTAACTGCTTGCCACTGTTATGCACGCCGTTCACACTAGTTCGCACTGGTTCCAAACATTGAACAGCTGAGCGAACTAAGAGATTTGACTTTTGCCAAAAAGCGCTAGAAACAAAAAATATAAACAAAAAGACAAGTTTATTAAAATGACAACATTTGATAGCAACGGCTGGAATGTGGACGAGACAGTTACGCTAATTGGCATTATAAAGTCCCTCAAAGAAGTGAACGGACCGGGCAAACTGGACTGGCAGCATGTGGCCAACCAAATGGTCGAAAGCAAGACAACACCCAACGGACGCAGCAGAAGCATTCTGGAATTGCGCGACAGATTCAAGAAATTGCGGAATGATTACTTTACGGCACGCTATCGAAATCGTTCCTGTCAGTACTATAACTATCTGAACGATCTGCTCAGCGACGAGCTGTCGCCGCGCAAGCAGCGTGCCGAAACGGAGGAGGATGAGCCCAAGGAGCAGGATCTGGAGCTGGACACGGGCGAGGACATTAAAGTGGAGCACAAATATGCGCACACCTTGCAGCTGGAGTGTAGGTAATGCTGAAATCCTTCATACCTGTTCTCATAGCCCATTTGTTTTTGTTTCACCAGGCAACGGCGACACCACAAATCCGGGCTCCGCGGTTAAGGTGCCGCTGCGCTGCAAGTGGGCGGAGGGCGAGGTGGAGGCATTTCTGAACATCATCATCAAACACAAGCTGCAGGCGCCGCTGCTGCGCAAACGCAATGCCAAGGTGTTCAAGCTGCTCGCCCGGGAAATGGCCAAGCGTGGATTTGCCAAGCGGCCGGATCAGCTGCGCGTCAAGTACCACCAGCTGCGGCGACAATATGCGAAGGCCAAGAACGGAGGCGAGACGTTCGAGCATTTCGAGGATATGCACGCCCTGCTCAATGGCTCCGTGCAGCATGGCGAGAGCAGCGCCGGTGAGCGCGAGAGCGATTCGAATGACAGCGGCGAGGAGGATGTCGACGCTGCCATCGGCTCGGAGAGCGAATCGGAAGGTTCATTAATCCGTCAGTCTATCAGTCTGCCAAGCTTCTATTTATGCTTTAATCCCTTGCAGGCGCCTTGGTGAGTGCCGCAATTCCCTCGAATGCGCGCGTCAAGTGGGCGGAGGGCGAGGTGGACGTATTCCTGGACATTATCACCAGCATGGGACTACAGTCGGCGCTGTTGCGCAAACGAAATGCCAAGATCTTCAAGCTGCTCTCCAAGGAGATGGCCAAAAGATCGTTTGACAAAGCGCCCGAAAAGCTGCGCATCAAGTTCCAGCATCTCAGACGGCAATACAACAAGGCCAAGAACGGCACCGGCGAAAGTTTCGAGCACTTTGAGGCCATGCACCAGCTGCTGAATCCTGCCAAGAAATCCAGCGCCGACACTGAACCGAATTACAGCAGCGGCTCCGAGAGCGATTACATTTACAGCGACGATGTCGACGCGGAGACATCCCGACCCAATCGTAGGTGCACGGCATTCGCCAAGTAAAGATACTTTTATTGATCGGTCCGTTTTGCAGGCCATCCCGATACCTATTACTGGACGGATCACGAGGTGGATGCCTTTCTGGCCATCATAAAGCAACAGAATCTATTTCGTGCCCTGGACGGCTCGAAGAAGCGCAACTTCAAGACCCTGGCCTACATCTCGAACATCCTGGCCAAGCAATCGTATCAGAGAACGCCGCATCAGTTGCGCAACAAGTTGCGCCTGCTGCTGCGTCGCTATCGTGAGGTCAAAAAGGATGGCATCAAAAATGTGCGCATGCTGCCGCGTCACTTCGAGATGTTCGACGATCTCATGAAGAAGAAGCGCACCACCAAGACCAAGGCAACTGGAAATATGGCAACAGCAAGTACAAATCAAGCTGGCACAAAGCCTGCGGCACTGGAGAGCGACAGCGATGGCAGCAGCTCCGATTCCAGCTGCGATCTGTTGCGTGCCGCAGCCGAAAGCGAGGAGTACGAGGATACATTCGAGTTGCCGCCGGAGCCAACGCCGCTCGAGGTGCTGACCAACATAAGCGAGGGCCAAAAGCAGCTGCTGTCCACGCTGACCGAATCCCACGAGCGTTTCCTGCGCCAGCAGCGGGAAATGCAGACGCAGTTCCTCCACGAAATGTCCAACATAATGCGGCAGGAGCGCGAGGCGACATTCCAAATGCTGAGAGAGTTGATGTCACCCAAGTGACTGAATAGTTCAATTAACTATAATCTCAGAGGTTGAATAAACACATTCGCAAACTTGTTTTAAGCTTCTAAAACTTTTATTTAATTGAATTTGAAGTTATTTGCAAAAAGTTCATTATTTATCTGTGTGGATCTCTTGTGTATTTATTTGTTATTCAGTTTTTTACCTAAGTTGCCTTTGTTTTTTTTTGTTTAATGCAATTCAGTATGAATTTCAATTTAGTTTTTTTTAATAACTATTTAAGTACTCATAATGTGTATGTAATTTTGAGAGAGCTTCGTTTTTGATATGCTACATTGTTTTTTTTTTTTTTTTGCTCTTGGGATTAAGTTAATGTTGTATTTAATTTGTTTCAGTGTCTTTTTAACATTAAGCTTGTAATTATGTTTTATTTATATTTATTTGTGTTTTGTTTACATTTTTTCTCACAACAACTAAGCAAGCTCTTCATAAAAAATACACGTATTTTTTTATTGCATAATGTCTAGAATTGAAATCGATCTCGCGTAATATGTATGTAATGTATTCTTGTTTATCATTTTTTGTATATGTTGTTGTTGTTGTTGTTGTTAATTCAATTGTTTAACTAAAAATCGACAACAAATAGTTAATATAATATATTAAGTATCTATGTGTATTTGCATATGTTACGCTCAGGCACAAAGTGTAAATTACAAATATTTCAATATATTGTTATTTTCTCGTTTTTTTTTTCGTTTTTGTTTTTTTGTGATTTTAATTAAAACAGAAACTAGACAAATTCGAACGGCATTTAATTCATTTGTATATTGTTTAAGAAACATAAGTAGATACATATCTTTGTATAGGTAGCGGTGTCTTCGTTTTATCTCAATTGTTATTTGTTTTTTTTTTTTTTTTGTATATTTTATTTTGTGGTTTTCAATTTAATCTCTTGGAGCGCGGCTCGGCTTAAATCTACATTCAGGCGGCACTTGGCTGCTCTGGTCACACTGTCACAGTTGCTGGCGGCTAAAGCTTTGCTTGAGTTGGCGTCTGAGGCTGCTGCGCGGTTGCAGCGCGGTTGCTGCGCGGCTGCTGCTGCTGTTTTTGTTGATACTGCGTTTAGGTGTGTGTTTGTTTTGGTATATTTATACGTAGTTTATAACAACAATAACAGTTCGTGTGTGTTTGTGTATGTGTGTTTGTGTCTCGTCTCTTGCTCTCTTTGTTTGTGTGTATGTGTGTGTTTTGTGTGTTTGAGTATAAGAGTAGTTTTTAACAATCTAAGAGCTAATCGGCTCGGGCAGTGGATTCTCAGTGATGCGTATCTTGTTGCTTTGTGTGCCAAAGTAGAGCGTACCGGATGTATCAGTGGTCACATATGCCCGATTGCCATTCCCGTTGCCATTCTCCACATCCAGATCCTCTTCGCTATTCGGATCATTTGCATTGTTGTTGCTGCCGCTGCTGCTCATGCTGCTGCCGCTGCCGCTGCAGTTGATGGCCGTCTCTCGCAGTCGATTGCCGACGCGCAAGCTTAGCTGCAGCTGGCGCTCTCGCTCTCTTTCCTGGGCGGCCTGCAATTGTTGCTCACGGAAGTTGGCAAAGAATATCGATGAATAGGTGTGATATTTGGTGCCGCAGGGAGAACTAGCTGGCGTTGACAGCGGCGTTGCTGTTGTAGTTGCAGTGTTGTAGTTGTAGTTGTAGTTGTAGTATATATATTTTTTGTGGAGGGGGGAAGGTAGTAGTAGTTTGGCTTTTGTTATTTACGTTACGTTACTTTTGGGCATGTTAGTTGTAGTTGTAGTTATTGTTGTTGTTGTTTTTTTTTTATGGGTGTTCTTTATACACGTTCTAAGGATTTGCTGCTGTTTTCATGTTTTCGTTTGTAGCGTGTAATATGTGTGCGTGTGTGTATTTGTGTGGGTGCATTGATGTTGCTTGGCCATTGTTTATCACTTGATGTTGCTGCGATTTGTTGCTGTTGTTGTAGTTGTTCTTGTTGTACTAGCTGCTGATGAGCTTTTTGATGATGATGTTGGCGAGGCGTTTATGAGAGATGATGATGAGAGCGAGACTGAGAGCGCGCTGCATGCACTTAACTGATTGGTGAGAGTAGGGCGCCACCTGCTGTCAGCTGCTGTGAAGAGACAGAGACTCGAAAAAACCAGAAACAATAACAGAGGGAGAGAGAGAGAGAGAGAGAGAGAAGAAAGAGCGAGCGAATTTGTGCATTTGCTCAGCTTAAATGATTTTGGAATTGGAAATCGTTGACTTTGTTCTTTTATTTAGAATTCAAATACACAACAAAAGCTTACAATTTGTGAAATTTTTGCATAGCTCCATTTAAGATAATATATATATTGTATATAGTATATATATCTTTATATATTGGTATTTTTGTTCATTTTGTTTTGTTGTTGTTGTTGTTGTTGTTGTTGTTGTTGTTGTTGTTTTTGTTTAGTTTTGTATATAGCATTGTCTTGTATGTATGTATATTTGTATATGTTAGGTATAAATATAAACTTATTGCTTTAATATATTTACGCATTGCATATGTGTGTGTGTGTATGTGTGTGTTTGTGTATATGTGTGAGTCTAAGCAACGAGCGCCCAAGTACAGCTCAACTCTTGAGGCATGTGAAATAAATCAAGAATACACACAAAATAATATGTGTAATGTTATTATTTTAACAACTGCATTTGTTGTTAAATGTATACAACAATTTACACTTATGTATATCGCAGCTATATACATACATACGTAATAACTAAATGTAATAAAAAAAAATGAATAACATAATACACAATATACGAAGCAACAATTAGAAGTGAAAAGAAAACGGAGAATTACAGTTAATAAAAAAATATACATACATAAAAGCTCCAAAAAAGCTAAAGCTTCAACTTGTTGCTGTTTCTATCAGTGTGTGTGTATGTGTGTGTGTGTGTGTGTGCTTGTTTCCTTGTTTGCATAGATGTATGTATATGTACGTGTTGGTCTCAGCGTGCTGTGCTTTCATCTTTGTTTCTGTGTCTTCCAATTTCTCTCACTCGTGTTTGCCCGCGGCCACGCCCTTTCCAACTCCAATATAGGCGGCGCACTGCTCTCATTGTACGCAAAGCTCAATTTGCGTGGAGCTGCTCCGACTGGCCGCTGAGATTTTGCGTGCCAGCTTTTGCAGTGTGCCCACAGCTACGCATTGTAAATGTTAACGGTTTATATCATTTCAAATATTGCGTGTAAATAAAACAAATAAAACATCAAATAAATTATATGTACGTATATGCCATGTATAAGGAAAATAAAGGTGTTTTATGTGTGTGCGGCAAATAAACGAAATACTAGTTGCAAAAGAAAAGAAGTGAGACAAATATAGAGCAGCTGCTGTACTATTTTGGGTAGGGTATTCTATAGAACTTATAAACAAGCTACGTGTCGCATTGTTTGTCACTTGCAGCCGAAAGCTTTCACACACACACACACACACACACGCATTGGCAACACGCACGTGTCAGAGCCAATGCTTCCATGCCGCATTGTATGCAAGCTTCTCAAAGCTCACCAATACTAGCGCAAGCAAATGACAAACAATTTTATATGTATGTGTGTGAGTGTTAAGCATTGCCTACTTTTTGTTATATATAATTGTAATTTATTTATCAATTAATTAGCTAAATGCATTTCAACTATGTTTTTTATTTTGTTTTTTTTTTTTTTTTGTTGTAGCCATTTTCTACTGAGGTTTCTCGGAGACTATTTGCCATAGGAGTTTTTTGTTAGTTAGTTTGTTGTTTATTGTGTGTGTGTGTGTGTGCGTGTTCGAGTGTACAAATATACATACCATATATTAATATAGTTAATTATTGTTGCATTTGATTATTGATAAGACAGTTTCGATAAGAGAAAATTAATTGAAGAAATAAAAAGATAAATTCAAAAATCGAATTTTATGATGCAGCGAATTCGACATCGTTTCAAACATTCAAAATGAATTTCGTTTTGATTATTTTTTTTTTTTTTTGAGGTTAATATCGGCGCCCAAGGTCATGTGCATTATGGTATTCAGATGGATGCATGACAGGAGAAGAGGCAGGCGAGAGGATGTTCGGCCAGGCGTTATACAAGATATTTTCGTATGTGTGTACGTTTTTGATATTGCGTGTCATGTTTTTTGTTTTTGTTTTTTTTTTTTTTTTGAGAGAGGAATAAATTTCATTGTTGTTTTTGTTGTTGTTTTTGTATGTTGTTTAGCAAAAAACAAGCAGTTTGGAGAAAGGAAAAAGAAATGAAAAACAAAGTAATGAACATATTGAAATATCTTTTCTTCGTTTTTTTTTGTAATTTTTTTTTGTTGTTGCGAAAATGCATTTGTTACGTATTCTAGGAGTTTTGAATTTGGCTGTTTTTGTGTCTTTTTGGGGCGTGGTCTATGTGTAGAAAGTCTTTAACAACTAATTTTGGGGCATATGTAAAAGTAAACGCTTGATTTTCAACAACTTTTTTCAATTTTTATTTCAATAGTTTTTATTTTTTTTGATTTTTTTTTTTAAGCGTACAAATATTTTGGCTAACAAACATATTACGAATTAACTTCGATTTGTTATTAATTTTTTTTTTTTTGCCAATTTATAATACTTATATCAAATTTTGAACAATTTTTATAGTTTGTTTATTTTTTTTTCAAATTTTTTGCAATTTTTATTAGTGGTTGAAAAGCTTTTGCTGTAACTAATGAGATCTTCAATACGCAAACATGAGGCTTTAGGCTAAGTTAGTTAAAAGTATTTGGGGCGAGAAGGCGACTTGGTGTAACTCTATAGGAAATATGCTCTAGTGTTTATTGTGGTTAACACGTGGAGGCTCGGCAGCTGCACTTTGATTGTGATGAGTGGAGTTTTTCTTTTGGAGGGCAACATTGCGATTGTCTGACCGAGAGAGCGTCTTGAATACTGCATGGAATTGAACTGAACTGAATAGAGTTTTTATCTTATAGATATTATTGATTTGGCTCATTCGTTTTTGTTCGAATTGAGGTTTGGTATTGAAACTTTGACTAGAGTAGTAGCAGTTAGATTGTAGTAGGTGGTAAGTAGATTGTTTATCGTAGTAGATTTTTGTAGATTGTTGTTGTAGCAGATAGGTTGAGAGGGGGGTTGGTGGTGGTGGTGGTGGTGGTGGTTCAGTTGTTCAGTTTTTGTGTGCTATTTATAGTCTCTAACACTTACCGTAGCCCTCGCCCTGCAAGAACAGCCGAAAGGCCTCAGCCAGCTTAGCCGGTTGCTCCTCCAGCACCATGGCGCAATCCGAGATCTGTAGCAAAGATTTGATTTAGTTTTCACATCGATTATAAGTAACACTTTTGCACTGTTGAACCTTCATCCAGGATGAGTTAGTTGGATCCAAGCGACCGTTGAATGTCACCGTATCGTCCACGTGCGGCGAAAGTGAGCCGGTTATATTGATGACCGGCATCTTAAGCGTGGTCGCTGCCGTCTCCGCACCAGGTGTGCCTGGAGGTGTGCGCGCCAAATGTAAATCGTTGCGATGTATGTACGCATTGATGAGCATGGCCAGGTTAGTGGGATTGACGCCGCGCTCGAAGTGCTGCTTGTACATCTGCACCAGATCGTGATTGCGCTCCTCCGGATTGCGGCCGAAATGATGCCACATCAGATAATCGATGACGCCCTGTGTCATGCCCTTGGTGCGCAAGAAGCGCGCATTGAAGCTCTGATAGCCCCATTCGATCCAGCCCGATTGTGTTGACACACAGTTGATTAGGCACAGCGCGCCCACCTTATCCGGATTACCATGAGCGAAACGTGCCAGTATATTGGCGCCGGCACCAACGCCAAAGCCAATCACCGACTTCAGGCCGAAATGCGAGAGCACAAACAGCAGCTGTGCTGCTAGCTCATCCATGGTTGGATACACATAGCTGCACGGGCGAAGATATCGATTTAGATAAGATTATGATTCAATGACAGCAGCTTCAAGTGTAAGCTAAACAATAGGAACTTGTAGCTGCACAAGCTTTCTGCCTTAACTGAACTTGGTCGAGTAGGCTTTCAATACCTTAGAGCTTTAATGAGCTTCAAAACTTGTTGTACTTATTTCTTAAGGCTTAATCAATAGCTTAAACTAAATAATTTCCTTCAACGAGTTTTAAGCGTCTTTTTTAAATAAAATTGATTTGGTCTTTCATGTGAATTTACTTTTCATAAAATAAATATTGTATCCTTCATGTGCTTTCAAAGCTTCTCAGTGGTTTAAATGTTAAATGTTTCTTAGTATTTCAGGTGACTTAAAAGCTGATTAGGTACTTTTCTATAGTGACCTTTCAGCGTCTTTCCTAAAAAAAAGCTCTTCAAAGTCTATCATGTGCTTTCAAAGCTTTGTAGGTACTTTTCTATAATAATATAGTTCTAAAATGAACTTTAATGTATTTTTTCGCTACTTTTGGCATTTTTCTACAATTGCAATAACTAATATACTTTCTTCCAGTGTTGTGTTCCTAATTGCTTTCGTTTTGGACAAGAAAACACAACAGCATTTTATTTTCTAAAGCTTTTACGTAATTGTTAAAAGTTGCCTCAATCAAAATGAAAATTAATTGCTCTTCACATTAATTTTCATTCACTTTTTAAGGTTTTTCTTTGTTGACTTTTTGCATAACTTTGTAATCGCACTCTAGAGTATAAACGCCACCTTGAGCAATTATTTGTACAACTTACTCCTCTGGCAATGTAGGCGCACCCTCCTCCTGTCCGGGTGCCGTAACATGATACACACAAAAGTTCTCCAGCAATCCGCGCATGACTGGATAATTGAAGAAGCCAGCGAAACTGGTGGCATCTATTTAAAGTCAAAATGAAAATGAAAATGAAAATGAAATATGCGTTAGCTCAGATGTTGTTGAGAACTCACAGTTGAGTCCCAGGTCGTGGTAGGTGACTATGGCCGGCTTTGAGGTGTCGCCCTGTATGGCGACATGTATGTCGCCCTTGTCTGTGGGCACACGTCGCTGTTCGCAGGCCTCCAAAATGGAGCCGCGTGCATTGGGAAATTGCAGCTGCACCGAGCGCAGTTCGATGTCATCCATGGGATCGACGGGCATAGTGCTATATATGGACAAATATATAGAAATAGATGCAGTTTAGCAAAGATAGTTCAGTTGCCTAACATATTAACTAAGTTCTTTTTTTATTTAGTTATTTGAATGGGTCACTCGTAAACTTGCATCCGGCGGGCCGCTTGGTTCGGTGCTGGGCATATTCAGGTTCTACTTTATTGGGCTCTAAGGCTACAAAAATGAGTTGAATTTGAATCACACGTAACGCGTCTAAAGGCTAAGTAACTAAATTACAAGTTGCAAAAGGAACTCAGGTAAATACAATATTATGCTATAAAGAATTGTATGCAATATTTTTTCAACATTTTTCAACATTCAAATTATGTACGAGTTGCGGTTTGACAGAGATTGAGAGATTGAGAGAGAGAGAGACGGGCGGATGCGTTTTGGTTTGTTATTATTATTTTTAATATGTATAACTATTATTTGTTGTTAGGTTTTGGTCAAACTCAAAAGTTATTACTATGCAAAATACTTACAATTACTTGAAAGTAAAACGAAATGAAGGCAAAACACAGTCTAAAGTGAGTTATGAGTAGGTTTTTTTTTTTTTTCTTAAATAAAAATAACTATATAAAAGAACAAAACTTGTGTTGCTTGAGTTTGTTTTTTGTTTTTTGGTTGTGTAGCGTGAGGGGCGGGGCATTACGCGGCATATATAATTACTATATATATATATAGATATATATCTTACACATGATATGGGGAAATCGGGTTCGTTAACGATTTGGCTGTTTGTTGTGTTGCTTACCCCAGCAGATGTGCCTCCTCGGCAGTGTGTGTTGGTGCTGATGGCATCTTGGTGTTCAGTGTCTTACCAGTTTTGTCGCGGTCTCTGAAATAAATACTATGAGCATGCATGCAAAAAAAAGAAACAAACGAAAACACGAAAACCGAGAGAGAGAGAAAGAGAGAGAGAGAGAGATAGAGGCGATTCGCTTGCTCAAACAAACGAAAAACTCATTTTTCATTTTTCTCGATATTTCAAAGAAAAACAAAAAACAAATTTCTTACATGTATGTTTATAATCAGCTAAATACACACTAAGTATGTATGTCTGGTATATATATATGTATATATATTATATGTACGTGGAGTTTGTTCATGTCAAATATTGAGAGAATTGAGTTGTAGTTTGCCCAGAGAGAAAGAGTTGCGAATTGTGATAAGGCAACGATTTGTTGCTATGAAAATGCCTTTTGATGAGATTGAGATTGAGCATGAAAATATGAAAATATAGCTTACACGAGTGCTCGTGCTATACAAGTACAACAAAAATAACAGTAAACAGTTTTCACGTTACGTAAAACTAAATAAATGAGTCACGCAATGTCATTCGGGCTAAAATGTCGACGACAACGAAAAACAGAAAAACAGCAAACAACTGGCGCCACAAATATGAGCTCTCCCAAGTCCTACCTCACCTCACCTCGCAGAACAAACTAATTCCGCTGAGCTTAATGCCTAACCATCAGACCGTGTGTCTAGCTTACTTGGCCCACAGCATTTTGGCCAGCCTGTATACTTATGCTTCTACTACTTATATACGCACACAATTCTATGCTGAAAACTCAATTAGCTGTTGCACTTATGCGAGCCTATCATCCTCTGGGACCAGATTATCCCAGCTCTGTGCACACATCCTAACTGTTGACGTGCTGATTTAATTGCTTAAAAGGTTTCATTAAAGCTGGAACAAAGTAATCTAACTAAGCTTCCATAAAATATGGGCAAGCAGCTAAATCTTATCTGCATCTGAACGATAAAACATATATGTAGCTGCTATTGAAACTGGATAGAAAATGCGAACAAGAAGAGTAACAGAAAGTAGACAGAGAAGAGAGAGAAAATTAAGATAGAGAAAGAGAGAGAGAAAGAAAAGAGTAAGAGAGAGAGAGAGAGAAGAGTAAGAGAGAGAGAGAGAAGAGTAAGAGAGAGAGAGAAGAGTAAGAGAGAGAGAGAAGAGTAAGAGAGAGAGAAGAGTAAGAGAGAGAGAGAAGAGTAAGAGAGAGAGAGAGAGAAGAGTAAGAGAGATAGAGAGAGTGAGAGAGAGAGAAGAGTAGAGAGAGAGAGAGAGAGAAGAGTAAGAGAGAGAGAGAAGCGTAAGAGTAAGAGAGAAGCGTAAGAGTAAGAGAGAGAGAAGCGTAAGAGTAAGAGAGAGAGAAGCGTAAGAGAGAGAGAGAAGAGTAAGAGAGAGAGAGAGAGAAGAGTAAGAGAGAGAGAGAGAGAAGAGTAAGAGAGAGAGAGAGAAGAGTAAGAGAGAGAGAGAGAGAAGAGTAAGAGAGAGAGAGAGAGAGAGAGTAGAGAGAGAGAGAGAGAGAGAGAGAGAAGAGGTAAGAGAGAGAGAAGAGTAAGAGAGAGAGAAGAGTAAGAGAGAGAGAGAAGAGTAATAGAGAGAGAGAGAAGAGTAAGAGAGAGATAGAGAGAAGAGTAAGAGAGAGAGAAGAGTAAGAGAGAGAGAGAAGAGTAAGAGAGAGAAGAGAAAGAAGAGAGAGAAGAGTAAGAGAGAGAGAGAGAGAGAGAGAGAGAGAAGAGTAAAAGAGAGATAGAAGGGAAATAGAGAGAATAGTAAGAGAGAGAATAGTAAGAGAGAATAGTAAGAGAGAGAAGAGTAAGAGAGAGAATAGTAAGAGAGAGAAGAGTAAGAGAGAGAGAGAGAAGAGAAAGAGAAAGAATAGTAAGAGAGAGAAGAGTAAGAGAGAGCAGAGTAAGGTGGGGGCAACAGAGAGTGTGCGTAAGACACTTTTTTCTATCACAACACAATTTTAACACACACACACGTATAAACACTTAAGTAAAATTCATCAAAATTGCCTGGCCCGCCCCACTTGAATTTTTGAGAATCGCATAGAACGACCCTAAATGTCTTACTTCACAAATACACACAAACACTTAGGATGTAGACTGTGTTCTTTAGTCATGGGCTGCTATGCTATTAAATTCAACATTTTCAGTAAAACTTGGGTGTCTACTGTCGGAAGTTTTGGATATTTCAGAGGGTTCATATTCTTCGGTAGCACAAAAGACCAAATCGAAGCCATTTTCGTGGTAATTAGAGCTATATAGAGGTAAGTTTATGGTACAACAACAATGTTCACTAAGAAAAACTTAACCCAACTCCTAAAAAACATGCAAAATCTTAACATCGGACTCTTATATCATATATCTCCTGTAGCCAGGATCAGTATAACAGCTGTATTTCTGCTTAGGTATTTAGGACTGTTCAGTAAGCCAGCCCCAAACACGATTGGGCTTAATTATAGTCGTGGCGAACAAAGCCCCTCCATAATAACAATAATAGCTCACAATCAGATTAATTGAGCGCTTTAATATTTCACGAACTATGCGTGTACGGGGTTTACCAACACACATATGCACTTTCCAAAGGGTCCTATTAATAGCCTGCCCCAAATCAGCGAGCACAGTTTTAAGCTATTAAAATTCACTTCGCTTTCTAAGTTAACACGCAAAGCTCTGCAGGGGGGTAAGGGCTGGGTGTGCCCGACAAAAACATATATATGTATATAAATAAACACATACCGTTACTCAGAAGTTTGAAACTTGTTGTTGCTTTCTTCAGTTGCTTAAGTGCACTCGTGTATTATTTCCTTTTGGTGCTTCGCTTTAAGCGCACGGCGCCAGACTTGAAACGGTCAGCAACAGCAACGAACCGGTTAGGACCGGTGAGACCCACACAGAACTTGAGAAATGTTGCACAGCGAAAAGTGCAATGACTGAAGTGTAAACAGAGCTTTAACTCTTGAGCTTTAGTCGTTCACACACACACACACACACATGCATACAATCGTATGCGTTAATTGAGTGCAATCTGTGTGGGCGTGCGTGTATGCGCTGTGTCACCGTTACGGAAACATTAATTAAAGCACTTGATGATGATGATGGCCGTAATGAACATAAATAAAATTGTAAAGAACGAGTACTTAAATATGTATCTCTTGCGGACAGAAATAGAACGAAAATCAAGCACAGTTAGCGGTTGACTAAATTATGGTTCGTCGTTGCCGTCGAATTGTCTGACTAGACAGCGACTTTTGGGGATTTGACTGCACTCTAGAGCTTTGGCATGTTGTATTGACAAAACTGCAGGCGGGCTCTGACCTTGAGCCAGGGCTAACTCAGCAATAAATATAAAGAAAGTTGCGCACGTGTTGATGTTAAATTGATGATGTAACTGAGAGAGCGAAAAGTGAGCAATATATACATACGTATACACAATATAAGATAATAATACACATATTTATAAGAGTACATACATATGTACACTTGTGCACCTATTACACTTTGGACAAAATCAAAAGTATGCAAATGATCTAACGCAAACACAAAAGGCTCTCACGCACATGCATCGCAATTAAAGCTGTGTGCTTGAAATAACGGTAAATTAAAGAAGAGTTTATGAACTTGCAGTGGAACAAACAAAGAGAGCACATCAACAACAACAATGAGTAGTAGTGGTAGTAGTAGTAGTAGAAGAAGAAAATAGTATAAGTTTGTGCTCTTGTTTCACTTACCTGGAACCACCACCAACAATGACCACCGGTCGGTCCATGCGCACCAGCTCCTCGCTATCGCTTGGCGAGGATTTGATCGCCTGACCAATTGCACGTTTCATGCTCTCAAAGACGGAGGTGGGCGATGCTGCCTGTGGTTCTGTGGTGGACTGATAGATGGCGCTGCCATTGCCATTGCCATTCATCGCCGGCAGCGACACATAGCCGCCCTCTGATTGCGGCATTGTTTGTGTTTTTTCTTTTTTTTTTTGCTTACTTTCTTTCGTGTGTTCTAGTTGCGCTCTTTATATTACGTAAATGTATATGTATGTTATGCGTGGGCCTGTCACTCTCTCACACTTCCACTATACTTAGCCTGCTCTGGGAGGTTTTCATATGCAGATAAAACTCTCAGTGCGCTGTCTGTGCATGTAAGTGTGTTTGTGTACGTGTGCGTGTAGGTGAGTGCATGCAATTTGTGCACGTGTGTGAGTGCGTGCATTTGATATATGTTGTTTTTGTTGTGGGCATACAAATCATATAAACAATGCGTTCATTTGGTTAATTTGTCACGTGATTCATCAGCAGGCAGTCACAGGCAGCAGGCAGCAGTTGTTGCCACATAATATACACACGCATATAATATATATAAATATATATATATATATATTATGTGATATATACAAATGACATCCATTCGTCAGTAGCAGCAGCAGGCACAATAAACATAAATCAAATAAATCAAGAAAAAAAAAAGAAATAAATTATAATCTAAAATGACAATCAACGATATCACAAAAAAAAAATTTTTTATATGGAATAAAACGATGTTAAGCTCATTTTCATTATTATTAACAGTATAAGAGCGCAGCTATTAACAGCAATTGCAATTAACATACACATGTCGTGTTAGGCTAAATGATCATTTGAGAGCAAATTGAGTTAAAAATGCAGTAATATTCTTTGTGACAAGAGCATAATGAATACATTATGATTGAGAAGAGCAAACACCTTATGAAGTTAGTAAGTGTGAAGCAAGAACAGCAGCAACAGCAACAACAACTACAAGAACAATAATTGTATTTGGCGTCAAAGTTCGTACTTGTAACAAGATATGCAGGCCAAGCCAAGGCTCACACACACACACACACACATGCAGATATGGAGAGAGAGGCACTCACACACACACAACGTCGCACACATGTTGCAGTCTGGCAACCGCAGCACTCAGCTGCTCTCCGCTCTGATTACCCCGCTGGCTCGCTCGTTCACTCAATGTGCATTACATTAACCCAGTTCCAGTTCTATGCGGCAAATGGTGGCTGCTCTGCGGTTTGCCTAAGGGTCTCTTCTCCTAAAGCTCTGGTCACATGGAATTTTGCACAGCAATTCAGAGATCTGGCTGCTGATTAAATGCGTCACCGAAATTTCAACACTTCAAACAAGCAAAAATTAATACAAATAAAGCACAACTGATAATCAAAAGCCAGCACGATGACGTAAACTTGACGACATGAAACAAAAAATATAAAGCATACTATAAAAAAAAAAAACTCGGCTACGAAAATATTGCGTCTTAACTATAAAAAAAAAAAACAACAACAACAAAAATGGCTGCAAATTGAGAACTTTTAGCCAGGTCGGAAGCCATCAAATTAAAAGGGTTGGGCAAGTATCCGAAATCCAAGTGTGAATCCGTAGGGATAACATTCACATACATACACACACATACACACATATACACACATATACATATATATGTGTGTGACTTTACAGTTTGTTATCTATTTATTATGCAAAACTAACGACGTCGTTTCTCATTCTGGTTCACATTGCTGCGCTTAGTTGTTGCTGCATAAATTTATAATAATAGCAATAAAAATAACACAAAAAACTTTTTCCATAAAAGCCAAAGCGAAACGCAGATTTAAGTAAAGCAAACAAAGCGCACAAAACGTTGATTGTATCTCGGGCACTTGAATAACGCGTCATTCTACCATTCTGATAAATATGTACACACATATATGTCGAAACATTTTCGATTGCTGCACTAACAAATACCCTGTACTTTACTATATACAATAGATACTTAATATACGTAATAGATACTAAATTGTATACCAAATTTTATGGTTCCTGCTTTCGATTTGCCAATATACATATATATCGAAACAATTTAATTGCTGTACTAATAGATACCCTGCGATTGGGTGTTTTTCTATATTCAAAATCGATGCTAATGGAAATTGTATACAAAATTTAACAGCGCTTGCTTCAGATTTGACGATATACGTACGTATATGTCGTAACAGTTTTATTGCTGTACGAGCAGATACCCTGTGATTGGGTGTTTTTCTATATTCCAAATTTCTATACCAAATTTTACGGCTCCTGCTCTAGATTTAACGATATGCACGTATATATCGAAACAGTTTAATTGCTGTACTAACAGATACCCTGTGATTAAGAACTTTTTTCATAAGCAACATTTATGTGGCTCCAGCTCTTATAGCTTAATATCTTAGATCCCACAGTTTTTAGATAAATGCATATGCCCATTCCATACAGGGTATGCGAATTATAGCATACAGTTAGATTCCAATTGTTAGTTTCTAAGTGCAAGTCAATTTAACAGCTGTAATCTTAGCTGAATTCATTAATGTTGCTTATCAATTGCAAAGTGGGGCGAGTAAGCTGATTGTCCGAAAGGTATTTAAAAATAAATACAAATATATATATATATATAATTATTTATATATAAACCAAGCGACAAGTAAGCGTTACTTAATTTCGTCGATTTAATTTGAACTTCCCTGTATTACTTTTTCAGTATATTGCAGATTGTATATCAAAAATTGAGCCTATATAGAACGTAATGCACAGCAACCTTTGACCTTTTGGCCTGAATTAGGGCTGCAAATCCACTTGGAATGATTTTATGGGCAACGGAACGTAGCTATAAAGATGCCCCCCGCGCACCCCGCACCCCGCACCCTCAGTCAAGGCAGCAAGTAACATTTGCATATAACATACTATATGGACCTTATATTGGCCTTGTGTAACTGGGCAATCGGGCCAAGCCTGCGGGTTCTACACAATGGCAATTCCGATAATTGCCACGAGCGGAGGTCGAGAGTGTGCGCCATTTATGGCAAATTATTCATAATTACAATTGCATCAGCGAACATTGTGAAAAATTACCAATTGGCAAAATGGGCGGCAAGCTACAAGAGTTGGAGCTGGCCAAAGACAAGCAGGTGAAAATGTGCACTGAGCGAAAAAGATGGGCACTTTTACAATTGATTGCCTCTTTAAGCTCGTTCGTTTAGCTTGACAGTTGCATTAACTGCCAGTTAAATGTGTACGCGTTGACCAACACTGTTGCAGTTGCTAGCCGTGTTAGTGTGCAATAACTTTTAATGTTAGCTAAAGTCTCGATGGGTCGCTCTGAAATTTTTCAATGTGAGCAAGAGCAGCTGTCAAATTGTAAACAAAAATCAATCAGCTGTTTGTAGTTTTCCAATAAATGTGAGGAATAGCTTGTTAGAACTTGAGAAAAAAGTGTTGCATAGGAATATAAGAAGCATAATATAAGATATATATATACTATTTGCTTGTAAATGAAATGGAATATTTATATTTTAAGCAAAATGCTGTTCCTCTCAGTTAACAGCCATTGTGGTCCAACTGGACCTTGCCTTGAGCTCTTTTCGCTTAAGTTAGTTGGCAATTTCGCGCCGTGTATTTGCGCAGATATCGACAATTTGGCAGGTCGCCATGGCAACCGTTGGCAGGTCAACAGCAATCGCACTTGCAACACGCGGCAACAACAAAGCCAAATGCGTGTGTCCGATTGGCATAGAATATAGCGGAGTTGCCTCCAGCCTGACCAAACGGGCCAGAACGGATATTGTTGGCCTGTGGCAACTGCAATTGCAGACGGCCAACAAATATTTGTGTATAAACATAAATAAATTATATCAATAAATTCAAGGATATTTTGTGTGACGTGTCCTGTGTTCTGAAACAAATTGCAGCGCCGCACAAGTGCAAATTATATTCAAATAAGTGTGCTCGGCGGCCACTGAGGGAGAGGGGGGGAGGAGGGGGCAGGTACAAAATCCCATAAAGGAAATGTCACGCTATATGGCAAAAGCCGCGGGGCTTTCAGTGCGCTGCGAACGTCACACTCACACACAGACACACGTACGTGTGTGAAGAGCAGGACGAGAACGTCAACAACGTAGTTCCTGGCCATGTGTGTGTGTGTGTGTGCGGGGGCGACGTGCAGGTTTCTTTACTGTTACGTGTTTGCAATCGATTTGAGAGTTACATAAAAACACAGCAAGGCAGCAGGAGTGTGTAGAAGAGAGCGAGAGAGCAAGACAGAGAGAGAGAGAGAGAGTTGGGTAGAGCGAAAAGCAATTTGGCAATTTGTGATGGACTCGTAAAGTTAGGTTAACTGACCTACGCGCCATATTAAATATGCAGGCAAGTTAAACAACAATGTCAAATAAAAGCAACGGTTATTTGTAGACGACGACGACGACGGCGGCGGCGACGCTGGCGCCGCAGTGTTAACAGCGCCCAATGGAGCCGCAGAAGCAATAAAACTCAAACAAACAACAGCAAGGAGCAAGGCGAAAACATTGAGTGAAACTTTCTGGGTCTGCGTTACGTCAGAGTCATTTGGGGCTTGTCAAAATTAACAACATAAAGCAAATCAAAAGCATAACAGAAGAAAAACTATAAGATGCATTAGTAGATAAATGTGGCAAAGCAACAACAACAACAAGAAGAAGAACAACAACATGCACAACAACATTAACATGCAATGTAACGTCTAACAGGCAAATGTTAACTACCGCTAAAAGCTCAAAGTTCAGCTGCGAGAGAGCTGAGTGTGCTAATTAAAAAAACAACAGCAACAACAAAAAGATGAATGCAAATGATAAAATTGATGCAAAATGATGCAGCGCTTTGTGAATAGAATGGGCGAAGAGAAACTGACGAAGGGGGCATAGTAATAGTTGTAGAAGTAGTTTGTGTAGAAGGAGCAAAAGTGATGAAAGCAACAACAACAACAACAGCAGAAGCAGCTGCTGCAGAGCAAGATTAACAGGCGCAGGCAGTGGCAGGTTGCGGGGGGGTCTTCACGCGCCAGGCCTTTGTATAAGAGTGCATGTGTGCGTGTGTGTGTGTTTTTGTGTGTCGTGTGATTTGTCTCTGCCTGGCGCAGTATTGCGCTGTTGTTGTTGCTTTGTTTTTTTGATATTATCACTTTGACTGTTATTAGCATGTTTTGTCGGTGTGTGTTCGTAGGCGTGTTTGTGTGTGTGTGTGTGTGTGTGTGAGCTGGACACCAAGACTCACCTGACGTTCGTTCTGCTTGTGTTTCTTTTTGAAGAACTTCCAGCAAACAACAACAACAACAGTTATTGTAACACAAATCAAGTGGTTCGGCGGGGTAGACGGGATCTGGGCAGCAGTTTAATTACAAATTTGTGGAAATTTACTGATGTGCGCGTTTGTTGTCGTTGCTTTGAGTTTTCTTGGCAGTCTTTTTGCTGGCTAAAACTGGCTACTCGGTGTATGCGTATGTAGTTAACTGGCACGCACAACAACAGCAACAATAATAAGAAGAACACTCGCGGGGCCCTTTTCAATGAAAAAATCAATATTTGTTTGGTTCTTCAAAGAATGTTTTGCGTTTACACTTGTGTAATTTGATGCTGTTTCGCGCACGCCCACACACAAACACTGTCACTATGCTGCATTGGATTTATTTAGCTGATTGTTGAACACTAATTCGTTGTTGTTTGTCACAATAAGAATAAATTTAAATTAAAATTTTTGTTTGACTAAACTGCGAACAACTCAACTCGATTATGGTGCACGCGCCAGTGTGACCAGATTGTGATTGCAGAAAAATGTGCAGATTTTTTTCTTCGGCAAATGCTATCGGAATGTGGTGGCTGGTCGATAACGGCAGGGCTGGCAGCAATTCATACGATGAAATATCGAAACAGCTGCGACCAATATTATATGTAATTTGTATTTATTTTGTTATGTGTTGCTGCAAATTGTAAGATTATGGGCATGCTTTAATTTTAATGTAGTTAAAATTAAGTTTACATATAGATAAATGGTACCAGTTGCATAAAAAGAACCAGCGTGCCGAAGCACAGAATTTGGTTCATCAAATCTCGATCAAAGTACCCATCTCTAAAACTGCTAAGGAAAACATGCTTGCCGCTGTCGTTCGTTTTAACAAACTGCCAGTTAGTTTTTGGATTTGTATGTGAAAACGTTGCCTTAACTAACTAGAAATAAAGCTAGAGTTCAGAGAAATTTTGGCGAATCAGCAGTCAAGCGGATAAATTATAAGAAAATTAGGATATATCCAACGTTATTCAAATCGAAAATACAGGTTTGCCGCCGTTGCGCAAATGCCGCAACAGGAACACAAAAAACCACAAAACATAAATTAAAAACCTTACAAACTTGTAGATAGAGATAATCAGCTCCAACAGCATGCCCCGTAGATATACAACAAAGTTACAGCTGTCGAAGCTAAATCAAACAATCGAATCGCAAAAGTCCCAACAGCGCAGCGAGGCGGCAACTTCAGCCAGCGATTCGGAGGAGGACGCCGAGGCGCTGGAGGAGGCATCATATGCAGATGTTTCGCTGGACGATCAACGCCAGGGCGTACCACTGCGCCATGTGCTGGAGAATACATCACACTTCACACATCCCGAGCTGAACACGGGTCTGGGCCAGAACGCTGCGCCCGATCGGCCGTTGAGCGTTTTTCCCAGCTGTGCGTTCACCGTGGCGCTGCCCGTGTATGTCTCCGGCCAGTCGACGCCCATTGTGGAGCCGTGCTTTCAGCGCTCGATCGCACACGTCGAGTGGATGCGCAATGTGCACGTCTACAAGGCCAAGTATCTGAGCCAGACGAGCAAGCAAAAGCAGCGCGAAAAGAAACACGCCAATCAGATATATAACATCCATCTGTACGATATGGCGGAGCAGATAGCCATGCAGGACAATACGTACTTTCGCGACAGCTATGACTACTATTATACGGGCGGCAATCTGAATCTGTTGTCGTACTCGGCTGCTGGCGTTGAGCCCAAGACGCTGGCCATGCACGTGTCCGGCGAGCGGCTGCAGAGCTTGAATCTATCCCAAGTGGGCGTCGAGGCGGAGCTGTGGCGTCCGCTGCATAGCGAAACGCTGGCGGGCGTGTCCAGTGAGATCTTTGAGCTGATGCCCATCAGCAGCTTTCGCGTTAATCATGGCAATATGCTGCTGGCGCGTATGCTCAACGACATTGCCATCTACGAGCTAAAGCAGCTGGACAAGGAGGAGGAGGAGGAGGAGGCGGAGGAGGAGGAGGCGCCCAAGTATGAGCTGTGCTGTCAGAGTAAATACAGCAGCCAGGACGGACCGTTCATAAGCGTGGCGCAGGCCATAAACAAACCAAATACGCTGGCCATTGCTTGCCAGGATCACAGCGTGCGCTTCAAGGATATTGTCACGCAGCAGGACATCTCGAAGCATGAGGTGTGCATACTGAAAGGCATAGGCAAATCGAGCACCTGGGCACAGATGCGCGCCAGCCAGGAGCACTGCTTCCACTATGCCTGCCAGTCCGCCCTGCTGACCATAGACCTGCGCTGCGCCAATGAGGCGATTAGCCCGTGCTTTGCCAGCAGCGCGTACTCGCCGCACTGCGAGAGCTTCTCCTGCTTGGGGCGCAGCTTGAATCCCAATCTTCTGTACGTGGCCAGCAATCATAAGCTGCATTGTCTGGACATGCGCTGTCTGGGCAGAAAGGTGTCGGATCGCTCCGTGGTCACGTGGACGCATCAGATGAACTACTCGCCCACCTTCATGGATGCCATTGCGCATAATGGCAGCGAATTTGTGGCGCTGAGCAGCGCCTTGACCAGCGATCAGCGTGTTTGCGAATTGAAAGGAGTCCTGGCCCAGAGCTGTGCCGAAATGAGCTCCCCCTCGCTGCCCTATGAGCCGCCGCAGCTGGAGGAGGCGCTGCTGAATGCACGATTGCAGGGCTCACACGTGGACATCTATGCTGATCTTGCGGAGCGCATCAAATGCTGCACCACGGGCATCAAATTCCACAGACTGGAGAACGCTATCGATGGCGCCTTCGCCCAGCTGCTCACTGCGAACAGCGTGGGCGACATTTACTGCCAGCGGGTGACGCTGCGCGATGAGCTCGAAATGCAGCGGGAACAGCGAACGGGCGGGCACACCAACGAGGCAATACTCTACTATTCCCAGCTGGTGCGTCATCACGTGACCAAAAAACTTGGCTGCACGACCGTGCAGCCGATGAGCGTGCTGCGCGAGATTATGAAATCCGATGCAGAACGTGATGTGGAGCAGGAAAAACCGCTGGTCATCGAAGATGTGAATATAGACTATGGTTTCCCAGATTCCGACTCGGAATCGCTGACGGAAAGTGAAGCTGAGGGCGAGGGGCAACAGCCCACGACTAGCCAAGTGGTCGCCCAGCAGGAGACGCCGCCTGAAGATACCAAGCCAGCCCAGGAGGTGAAGGCCAAGAAGAAGGCCGTCAATCGTGGACCCTGGCAAAAGTCGGCCTACAATCTGAGCCGCTTCACAGATGTCATCAGCACGCGCCTGCTCAGCATCTGGGACATTGATGAGTTCGACCTGACACGGGATGTGCACATCGATATGATCGACGAGAAGCTAAAGGTGAACAAGAACGAGGATGCGACCGAAGAGCGCACAGCTGCCTGGTTGCAGCAGATGCTGCAGCCCGCCCAGCTGACGGCTGATCGAACGGAAGACGACGAGAAACTGGTGCCGGGCACCAAGCTACCCAAACGCTTTGAGGCATCCTATGCCGACTACAAGGAACTGATAACGGAAACAGTTGAACTCGATATCCTGACGAGCACTAAAATCGAAAGGGACACATTCGATGACAGCCTCGTTCCGCCCTCCACATTGGCGCCGGGCGAATTCACGATCATCGAAAGCTCGCCAAATGTGAATCCGACGCCTGCCAAACGCCGCAAGACCAAACACGTCATGGGCTTCTAAATGAAGCTTAGCTTAGAATACACCACAATCCATACAAAATACACAAAATGACCAGCACCTAATGCCAAATAGTACAATGTACATATTTTACAGATCCGTACAGAGACATCGTAATCATGAATTCGAGTTCACGCCGTCAGCGTTCGCGCATGCCGAACTTTACCGTCGGGGAGGAGAACGTGCTGAGAATGTTGACAGCCAAATACCATAAAGAGATCGAGGACAAGGCGTCCAATGCACATGTCTGGCGTGCGAAAAATCGGGCCTGGGAATGCATTGCCGCTGAGTTTTACAAGTGAGCTTGGGTTTCTTCCCTGCAGATCAATGCGAAACTATACGAACCTAAACTCCCAGCAATACGCAAATCCAACGTTCGGCCGTGAAACTGAAATCCAAATACGAGACAATGAAAAAACAAAACAAGCTGCTGAATGTGCTGGTAAAAAGAGAGCCAACACATGAAGATGCCTCCCCCAACAAATCGAACGAGCGCAGGAATACGCTTGAAGAGTCCAAGCGGAATGTGGATCAAGCTGAACAAGTTGTGGTCGTAGAACAACTCAAAGCGGAAACTCAACCGGACCAGGTTATGGCCGAGGCGGAACCAGGTCCGATCGCAGCTGAGCCAGGCCCCAGCGAAGGGGATCAGATCATGTCGGATGCCGAACAGGCTATGGTCGATGCGGATCAGATCATGATCGAAGCGGCGCCGGAAGATAAGCCCATGGATGGAATCGAAACTGTTTTGACTGAGCTCAGGCCAGATTTCTCCAAGATTTCAGTACGAAGCCACAGATCAGATTCCAATATATCCGCAAATATTGATGTCAAACGAGTTCGCGAATTTCTGCGGCAATACAAGAACTTAAACCAGGTGTGTTGCTTAACAAAGGGCATCCAGCAGTCGGCTTGGGCATAATATCTATCCCACAGGCACAAATAGCTGCTGCCAAAAGCAATGCGCCGAGTCCGGCCAACGAGAAACCAGCCCTGCATTCCAGCGAGGAGGACAACAACGAGATGGTAAAAATAAGTTAGCTCCATTAAATAGTTTAAACGTGAATGTAATTCAAAGCAGCTCAAGGAACTCAGCTTGACCCAGAGATCTTTGGCCGCACAATTCAATTATTATCGCAACATGGATATCCGAGCACAGCAGAAGCATCTGGCCGAGCTCAAGAATCTTGAGATTCAGCATCAGATTTTGGAGATCGAGCTTCAGATCAAGCAAAAAGAGTTGCAGAAAAATAGCTAAAGCTAATACTAATTATTATTTAAGGCAACTTTCGTATGTTTACACGTGTAGGGATATCATGTATTTGTCTTGATGCATTTATTTTAAATATAATGAGTAAGCCTTTTTTTTAATCAATTTCATATAAGGACTGTAAACTTATTTATAAGGCTTATCTTCTCATATTTACACGTGCATAGATATCATGTATTTATCCGGGATATCATGTATTTAATCTTAATGCATTTCTTTTTAAATCGTCAGTAATGAAGCTGTTCTTTTTTTTTATATAAATATGATAGATATTATAAATATTTTTACATGAAAATGTAACTCATGAATGTAGGTTTACACGCTCAGGAATATCATGTATTTAGTCTTAATGATTTTTTTTTTTAAATATGATCTGTAATAAGACTATTTTTTTAAATAATAAATAACATGAAATATACTATAAACTGAGTTCTTTTGTTTATCTAGCAGGCTTACACGATGTGGAGACATGTACGTACGTTTACACGTGCATGGAAATCATGTGTTGAGTCTATTATTTATTTTTTTAAAGATATGATAAGTAACAAGGCTTTTGCAGATATAAAATTGACTCAAGCGAGTTCCATTGCTCATTTTGCTGGTTTACACGATGATGTAACTCTAGTACGTATGTTTACACGTGAAGGGATATCATGTATTTGGTTGATCACGAGTTTCTTAATGCATTTGATTTTAAATATAATGTGACAAAGGGTATTTTCGCCGAGTTCTAATGTTTCGTAAGCAGCGCCGCATGCAAGTTTACACGATGAAGTTCAAGACTAATTATTATTTATAGAAAATATATTTTTACTAAAATTTTTAGTGCACTTTTTGTTAAAATTTACATAAGAATGAAAACATAATTTTGTAAATTTATTTTTTTTTAAATTTAGTTCGCCTTATTTTGAAGGCTTCCAAAAGGTGCAAATTTTATTTAATTAGTATTATTATTATCGGTTTGCAGTTGTACATATATGGTATACTATATACTCGCCATTTTGATTGGACATTGCGTTGATTGGTCGCTCGGCTCTCCGATTTGGCATCGCCACCCAAATCGGGCTCATAGGCAGGATTAATAATACCCTCGATGCGTTCGACCACAAATCTGTGATCTCGACGTTTCAGGGCATATGCCTCCGGAGGATTCTGTAGCTCCTGCAGCATTTTTCGATTCGATTCTAGATTTTTGGCTGATGCGTTGAAGGGAAAAACAACCGACGCGCTGCGATTTAATTTACAACTGGCAGCTAATTAAATTGAGTTCGCGAAATTCTAATTGATTTGCTATGAACAATCGCATTCATTGGGGCGTAAAATGACCCCTAGAGTAATGGGTTTTATTTGGGGCGCACCCACGTTCGCATAGAGATAATATATAGTTAATCTAATGCGGAGCTATTACTACTTATATATACATAAAGATAATCAAGATTAAAGCTAAAATCAATTTAAGTTTAATTATTGACACATGTTTTATGTTTAACTAGAAAACATGCAATTTAATTGATTTAAGCTCCGCCCACTTGGCTCTAGCGCATGCGTCATCGGGGGCGTGGTTTCGTGCAAAGCTTAGCAACATGCATGTTGGCTGCCCAGCAACATGTTGCCAGCAACATGCTTGCAGCATCCTTGTGGCAAACGAGCTGCCCAGCTAACAGTTAACATTGTAGTTACGCGCGAGCAGGTTGTGCGTCTGATCTCTATCCTAATTTCATTTTTGTTTCTGGTTTTTTGGAAACTAAAAATACTTTTATAAAAATATTTCATATTCGTTTGTAAGTAGAAACATAAATGTAAGTTTACAGATTTTTATTTACAAACCAAATCAATTAATGTGTTATATTATTTTAAATGAATGCATAGAGTTTTGCTCTCTCTCTCTCTCTCTCTCTCCCTCTCTCAAATAAACACTTCAGAGTGTGTTAAAAGTCAAACTCTTTCTGAATATTTTCTTAATATCCTTTTGTTTTCCAACATTCTGTCTCTTCATGACATTCACAACACTATTCAAGGAAAATAACAGTTTCCTGTCACAGTTGTTAAAAATTCACTCTAAGTTCGGCCCCACAATTAACAACGCCCAAATTTTGTCGCTTACCGCGAACCGCTCGAGTGCTGCGCGAGTTGCTTTGATTACGTGGACAAGTGTTTGGCTGCGGCGCGCTCTCGCTATCTGTTGCTCCGTCTCGCTCTCGATCAGTCGGTTTTTGGTGCAGCTGTATTGGTGTTGACGTCGACTGCGGCAGATAATACGCTCCACGCTCACAAAGCTCTACGCTGCATATAGTAAACGCCGACGCCGTCGTCAAAATTCCAACAGTTGCCTTGCGCACATCGATCGTAGCAGTTGTGCCCGTTGCTTTGCGCCGTTTGCTCTTTGCTCGCCGTGTTTATATCCGGGACTAATTGAGTGGAATACACAAGTAAATAAGCAAAACAAAAGGTATAAACAAACTTGAATATTTTATAGACAATGTGTGACTGTGTGTGTGTGTGTGCGTGCATAATAAATGCAGTTAATTGGAAGTAAGCAACAATGAGAAACAAAAACGCAAATGATACAAAATGAAAGCGTGTACTTTGGCTAGCTGGCGTGTCTTTTTCATTCATATTCACATCGTGTTTTACACATCAGCGAATGTCGCGGCACAGCGGAAACCAAAGAGAGCGATCGCACATAGGACGAGGGGCGGGGGCGGGGTGCGCCACGAAGACATTCCAGCCAAAGAAAACTTAACGAATCTGAGCATAAAACTTAACTCAACAGCGCTTATCTCCCGGCCGGCCTAAAAACGGTTGTCGCTGCGACTGCGACTGTTGTTGTTGTTGTTTTTGTTGTCGTTGTTGTAGCGTTGTTGTCGTGTGCAGCTAATCACAATTTGTTTGTTGTTTTACTTAGCTGTTGCTTTTTTTTATTGTCTTATGGAAAAACTCATGACGTGTGCCCATTGCTTTTGCGTGTAAAGTTTTCATCTCATTAACGTTCAGTTGCAAATTATTTAGTCGAGTCATTGCATTTGCCCAGGTGGGCTAACTAACGGTTCGGGCGACAGTTCAACGAACCAGGCTTTAAAATGAGCTCTCAAATCAAACAAACCAAAAAAAAAAAAAAATAAAACATAAAGTAAAAGACAAGAGCAAAGCAACAAATACAAGGTGGCAACACGCAACTGGTTTTGCTGTGGACGCCCAAAAAAGAAGAAGCAACAACAACGAAACACAAAAGCAGCGGCAAATTCCCTAAGCCGAAGATTCAATACGCTCTAGACTTGCATTTAATATTCAAGTTTTATTTGCGTTGGTTGTTTATTCTTTTTGTAACGACTTTTTGTTATTCGAAATTTAAATATCTTGGATTTTTTATGATAACTATTTGTAGTCTAAATAGATAAATAGCCTAGAAATGCGTCCCATACTGAAGAAATTCCCTGAAATATGTAAATTTCATTTCTTTTTTCTTTCTTCTGACCCAGTCTTGAAGCTATTTTGAAGTATTTGTCGTGAAAATTCGCTTCCTTATCAATTTTCAAGCAATCGCCACAAATGAAAAGATAAAATATACCATCTTGTAGTATGAGAGAGGAACATTCTTTACATAACTTTTGTGTAAATATTCTTACAAAAGGTCTTATTTTAGTATATATATAGAAGTAGGTATATGTTCTTTTCTCAAAAAACTTGCTATTAGAAAGTTGAAATGAATGAAGAGCTTAACTAAAAGATCGACTCAGCTTGTCGACATAA